ACAATGTAAAGAGTAAATGAAATAAAATTTCTTGGGGTGATCATTGACCACAAGCTCTGTTGGAAGCCACACATTACTTATGTTCGGGGGAAATTGGCACGGGGCATTGCCGTCCTGGGGAAAGCAAAGCATATGTTGGATCAGAAAGCACTGCACATTTTATACTGTGCTTTACTACTGCCATATATGAGCTACTGTGTAGAGGTCTGGGGAAACACATACAAAAGTAACACACAAACAATAACTATAATACAGAAAAGGGCCATTAGATTAATAAATAATGTAGGGTACAGGGACCATACAAATGCACTCTTTGTCAAAATGCAAGCTATTAAATTCCAAGACTTAGTGAAGCTTAAAACAGCGCAAATAATGTATAAAGTAAGAAATAAATTGCTTCCCAAAGAAATCTGTAAATTGTTCATAGAAAGAGAAGGTGGGTATAACTTAAGAGGGAAATGGAATTTAAAAATACAAAGTGCTAGAACAACTTTAAGAACTATGTCAATCTCAATTTCAGGAGTTAAATTATGGAACAGTCTAACAGAAGAAATAAAAGACAGTCAAAACATAAAACAGTTTAAAGTAAAATATAAAAACCTAATTTTAAATAAGTATAAGAATGAAGAAAACGGGGTTAACCCAGGACGGTAATGTTGCTGGCAATGGTGTTGCGGTTCTTTTTTGGGGTTTTTTTTTTTTTTTTGGTTTGTTGTTTTTCCATAACTTGTGTATCTGCAAATATACACATTCTGTATTTTTCATATGAAAGAAACTATACTGTGGTGGGGCTTGCTAATTTCTTGTTTTTGATTTATGTATGTTATGTTTTGTTTTACTTCATATGTTTCATATGTTGTTTGTTTAATTTAAGACAAAAGAAAATTAAATGAATGAGAGGTAAAACTTGAGGGGGTAGGGACAAATAAGTAAATACTTCAGCCTACTCCTTTTCAAACAAATAAGGGAATGATATTTTGTAATGATTGTGAAGGCACATGTTTGAAATGTTTGAAATAAAAATGAACTGAACTGAACAATTGCACTTTGTGGTACTAAGGTAGAGAAGTCAGTAAAACCAGGTGTCTATTTCTATAACTGTGAGCAGTTACAGACTCTGCCATGAATCATTTTATTGTGGTAATGCTCAACCACTTGAAAGGCATTCTCTCTTTTGCATCACTGAGCAGATACATGCAAAATTATAATACAATTCTCCTGCTGCACTTTGTGAGTTGGCACCATGTCTGATAATTTAGAACTGAAATGATACAAAACAAATGCTCTAAGGTCTTCTGGGGGATTGGGAACAGAGAACGGAAAGTACACAATGAGATTTCAAACCATTTCAGCTTTTTAGTGTCATTATCCCAAAGAAAGAAAGAAACAAAACCCTGAACCATGCCACTCAGTTTGAATTCTTCAGTTAGGCTGCAGGACTGTAACAGCGTTATTGGGAGTGCCTCTTTGTTTTGATGAAGTGAAATTAAAACGTGCTCTTCTGTTCCCATTGTTGTCATTGATTGGAGTCATTTCACATTCACTGCGGAGCGTCCAAGGTCACTGCTGGTTTCGACGAGGGGCCGGGCGCCTGTTCAGGAACAACTGACATTAATCTCTTGGTGACACGCAGTAAAGAATTGCCGTTGACATGTTAACCCTTCAGGATCCAGTTATCAAAACAGCAAGGACACTTGTACTGTGGCGGGTGCCGGCTGAGGGATAGATGGACCTTTTGTTTAAGCAAAGGGAAATACTAGGGATGTGCATTTCACATTTGAATTTTAAATACTGCCTGGAAAAATCTAAATACTAAAAGCAACCTTTTATCTTTCATCAGTGTGAAAAATTTATGATTATATCTCAATTTAGACCTTCCAGATCCCTCGGGTCATCTGGATCCAGTCTTTTATCAGTTCCTAGAGTCAGAACCAGACACGGAGAAGCTGCATTCAGCTTTTATGCTCCTTATATCTGGAACAAACTCCCAGAAAGCCTCAGATCAGCTGAAACACTCAGTTTATTTAAATCCAGGTTGAAGACTCACCTGTTCTCAGCTGCTTTTGAATAAAGCACCAAATCCACACTTTTAAGCTTAAATTTCAAAACTTACATTTTAACTACTGATTTTATCTACTGTTTTTTGTTTTGTTTTTTTTAATCGATTTTAAATCATGCTCTTTTTATTGTTTTTGTTTTTTAATGTCTCTGTAAAGCACTTTGAATCACCTTGTTGTTGAATTGTGCTATATAAATAAACTTGCCTTGTCTTGCCACTGAAGGAACAATAGGCTGGAAGGTCAGTTCATTGATCAATAATATACAAATTGTCATGGGCCCTGATCAAAGACCTCAGAAACCTGCAGTCCGCTGAGACTGAAGAAGTCACGTGGATGAGTGACGAAACGTTTCTCCCACCTGAAAACGCTACGTCCAGATGAACAGAGTCAATCTTTTGGACCACCTATAATTCTAAACATTTTGGTAAATGACATTGCTATTACATGTTGGTACAAACATATGGATTCTTCATACCTCAATCTTAGTATAGGAGGTCGTCTGGAGCTGTACACCATAGGCAGAGTGGTTTACTTTGACATGGGAGACCTTTATCTGATCTCCCACATGAACATTGTAAATTGATGCCTCCCTCCACAAGGAGACAGTCATGGTATGCCCATCCTGAAATCACAAACATGACAGAATGAAAGATTTATTCATTAACTAATACAAATCTCAAATATGCCTATTTTCACCATTTTCAATACTACACTTTAGTTGCACCATTACCTGCTTTAGCTGGAGCGTTCGTATAGGCACCTGTTGTTTGCCTGCGAAAACCTTCCTCACTGCAGAACACTGAAAATTCAATTAAAATATAATGTCAGTTATTGTGATTGCATAAATCTGTGTGTGTACATCTAGGTGCTTCTTTCTTGACTTACTACATCTATTATTTTATTATTGTTGTTAATGATAAATCTACAACCATTTACAAAATAATAGCGGTTGATCTTGTTCTCACAATTTTGTGTTTGTTTGACGACAACAACAACAAAAATTATTATTTTTACTTTTAAAGACAAAAAAGTAATGGTTTCTTTGAAAACCTAAAGCAATATCAGTTCTGATGGAACCACAAATATTTACCTCCACAACCTCCCCTTCCACTGTAATAAGCCCTCCAAACGTTGGGCTCATCTTCAGTGGTGTTGCTGGGGAAGGTGGATCAAGAAGCTCCTCCGCCTTTGTGATGAGGGCCTCTGTGACTGCAAGGGCAGGAGCTTTAAAAAGCTGTGTCCTCGCCGTAATGTTGATTAAATAAGGGGGAGCTTGGCCCCTCAGCTCATGTCCCCTCATCATATAAGACATGCCCTCTTTGACTTTGGATGAGAATTCCTCAAACAAAGTAATTTTTGCCACTGTCTCTCCGTCAGTGATTGCTGCCACCGTATTTTTTTTGGTTAACAGTGGTTTGACCCCTCCATCTTGGATATCCCAGCTGATCCTCCTGTGTGTCTGTGATTTGATGCTATATAAATAAAATTGAATTGAATCACCTTTAGCTGGTTGCAAGATTTTAACACCCGGATGTGAATGGGTGGGGGCCTGAAGTACGGCGTCTCAGGCCGGTTATTGTTCAATTTCATTAAGGCCATTCTGGAGAAAAAAAAAAAAAAAAAAAAAGCAAAAGAAACACATTAACAGGTTCATACATTTCTGCTGGATCCAGTTCTGATAGAATACAGTAACACCTGTTGCTTTTATGTTGTCTCTTCACATTTTGATATGAAACAAACATGTGTCGCGACCGACACATCTGTCTTCTTCTTGATATCAAATATATCCATAATAGGCATTTCAGTATTTTATACTTTTTATTATGGTTTCCTGAAACACTTCTTTTTTTTTCTCCCATGAAAGTTTATTGAATTACAAACACTACATTTGGCACATTTAGAAACTAAGATTATCAGAACACCAAAAAACTCATTATCAGATACGTCACCTCATGAAAGCGCATGATGAAGCTTTGTAAAAGCTTTAAAAACAAAAAAAAAACAAAACAAAATGATGCAAAATAGTAACTGTAATAAAATAAATACTTACAATCATAAAAAGAAAAGTCCCTGATTAGATTTACTATATGACAGCTAAATATTACACAAAACAATAACAGTCAGATGGCTGGGGAAAAAGGCATCAGAGTCACTTGTTTCATGCAAGGATAGTCCATTTCACCTGCCCTGCGAGCGGTTAGCGGTTTCTGCCAGCTGATAGTTGCGCCACCAGGCCCAGTGTGCGGCCACTGCTGGGTGCAGTAGCTCCACCACCCCACTAGGGGGAGGAAGCGGGTTTGTGTACTCAAGTTTCTCTAGTAAATATAGGAAAAGTTCATGGAGTCTGGCCAAGTTGATACCAGCACACAAAATATTAGCTCTGAAGTTGGCTGTACTGGAGCATGAGAAATATATGCTTGTAAGTACGATTATATTCTGTGTTCATGTTAAGCATGTGATGTAAAATGGGTTGTTGACTCTCATATTTGAAGCCGGCATGTTAGCTGCATTAAAATGAACATGTTTGTCTCAAAGTAACCAGTGTTTAATTAATCAGTTGTAATAGATAAGACAAGTGTCTATTTTAGTATCTGTATCAGAAGTAAAGGAGAAACGCGGATATTCCATCAGTGATTTTCTTAGGACATAAGTATGAATTCACAAGCATCTCAGTATGTTCGCTGAATCTATCAGCAGCTGATATACAGTGCCAGTCAGAGGGGATCGGTGTGGAGGTGTTCGGCAACGTTCACGGCAGCAGAGCTTTGGATCTTTCTAACAGGAAACGAGGATAAATTAAGAGACATCGAAGAAATGCAGAGTGCAAATTCAGAACGTCCTGGATCGGGCTCTGATGGTTCTTTTCTCGGGTCTCTGATTGGCTACAGGTACATGCCATTAATGAGGTAATCTGACTCCTCTGTAGTGAGGGGACGCGCTTTATTCAGTTTGTGGCGGACGAGCCTGAGACGACAGCTCACAGATCAGACGACAGATCATGAGCAGCAGCACGGCAGTGATGATTAGGCCAAGTGGAAATGGTTTGGAGATGGGGGCGTCACTCACTGCTTGGCTCTGGTTGGCTTTAGGGGAAGCTATCTCAGTCTGCTTGGTGACTGGAGGAGCCACACTGGCAGGTCTGAAAGCTGGACTTTTTTGTATGCATTCACTGACACAGTCCAACTCCTGGAGGAAGTTGTTGTGGTTTCCCTGGCAGCCTCCATACAGGAAGTGTTTGCACTCTCCCACATTTTGGTCGTAGTACCACCGTGGGAAGGTGCCTTTACAGGGTCCCACAACTGGAGCAGCAGCACATGGGTCTTGACTGACTGAAGCTTCCTGCTCACTGGCACTTTGAGAAGGAGCCGCCTTGCTTGTGTCTTGCGGTGTGATGGTCTTTCTGGCTCCAGTCGGGAGCATGGAGTCGTCTTCAGCTTTCTTTGTCTGAGCGACAGGCCGCTGAGGGCTGGGCAGGTCCACAGCGTGGGTCACTGACTTTCGGCTGCCATCGAAGTTTAGCTGGTTGCAAGATTTTAACACCCGGATGTGAATGGGTGGGGGCCTGAAGTACGGCGTCTCAGGCCGGTTATTGGTCAATTTCATTAAGGCCATTCTGAAAAAAAAAAAAAAAAAAAAAAAAGCAAAAGAAACACATTAACAGGTTCATACATTTCTGCTGGATCCAGTTCTGATAGAATACAGTAACACCTGTTGCTTTTATGTTGTCTCTTCACATTTTGATATGAAACAAACATGTGTCGCGACCGACACATCTGTCTTCTTCTTGATATCAAATATATCCATAATAGGCATTTCAGTATTTTATACTTTTTATTATGGTTTCCTGAAACACTTCTTTTTTTTTCTCCCATGAAAGTTTATTGAATTACAAACACTACATTTGGCACATTTAGAAACTAAGATTATCAGAACACCAAAAAACTCATTATCAGATACGTCACCTCATGAAAGCGCATGATGAAGCTTTGTAAAAGCTTTAAAAACAAAAAAAAACCAAAACAAAATGATGCAAAATAGTAACTGTAATAAAATAAATACTTACAATCATAAAAAGAAAAGTTCCTGATTAGATTTACTATATTACACAAAACAATAACAGTCAGATGACTGGGGAAAAAGGCATCAGACTCACTTGTTTCATGCAAGGATAGTCCATTTCACCAGGCCCAGGCTCCTGCAGCCGCCGCGCCACCGGGCCCAGGATCCTCTAGCAAGGCACCAACAAGTAAACAGAGGTGGGACCAAGTCATTGTTTTGCAAGTCTCAAGTCAAGTCTCAAGTCAAGTCTCAAGTCTCAAGTCATGTCAGGCAAGTCAGAGTCGAGTCTCAAGTCACTGGTGTAAAAGTCCAAGTAACGTCACAAGTCTGAAATTTTGAACTTCAAGTCCTTTCCAGTCTTTAAAAAAAAAGAAAAACGAAAAAAAAAAAGCATGTTGCAGTTATATGCTAAATGTAAATATTAGACCATGTAATTTTTAAATCTGTGTTTTTCTCAACACATGACAAAATAGTGAACGTAGAAAATATACACAAATTGTGAAATTGCACCTCTTTAAAATGCAGCTCAATTAAACCTAGCTCCAAGAATTATTTTCACCGACAGTTCTGAGATAAGCTGCATGTTATTCTTGGATGCGGTTGTAGGACCAGCTTTAAAATCGCATGACAAAAATATCATACACATTAAAAAAAAAAAAACAACTGTATCACCAATGTAGCCTGGACAACATTTGCTAGTTAGATGCTAGTTAATTTCTCTTCAACGACGTAATCCAATAACAACCGATCTCTTTACCCGTTGGCTTCCCGTGGCTGTCATGCGACCGGCTATTGCAGTTAATAATACAACAGCTTCTTGACATTTTTGTGTTTCTTTTTATCGCTGTATAACTGATTTTAATTGAAAGCCTGCGTGCGCTAGTACCGCTTGCCACGAGTTCCCAGAATCCTTTGCGGTTCTACCCGTGAATGACGTCACATTTTCAATCTCTATATAATATGCATGTTAAATCCAGATGAACAGAGTCAATCTTTTGGACCACCTATAATTCTAAACATTTTGGTAAATGACATTGCTATTACATGTTGGTACAAACATATGGATTCTTCATACCTCAATCTGTAATAAAATAAATACTTACAATCATTAAAAGAAAAGTCCCTGATTAGATTTACTATGACAGCTAAATATTACACAAAACAATAACAGTCAGATGGCTGGGGAAAAAGGCATCAGACTCACTTGTTTCATGCAAGGATAGTCCATTTCACCTGCCCTGCGAGCGGTTAACAGTTTCTGCCAGCTGATAGCCGCCGCGCCACCGGGCCCAGGCTCTTCCTGCAGCCGCCGCGCCACCGGGCCCAGGCTCCTCTAGCAAGGCACCAACAAGTAAACAGAGGTGGGACCAAGTCATTGTTTTGCAAGTCTCAAGTCTTTATCCTCAAGTCACAAGTCTTAGAACATTTTTTTCAAGTCAAGTCTAAAGTCATAAAATTAACTAGAAAGCCACCGCTAATCAGTATAGGTTGCCATTCAAACGGCTACAGAGAGCAAAACTCAGTGGAGCAGCCATTCTCCACCATGAACTATGGTAAAACCAAACACCGCTCGCGCCTCACAGATGACAGCTTACAGTTTTGTGTAAAGATGAGGTGACTTCGTACAGCCCCAATTTGTAGACACTGTGCGCAGAGGTTCATAAGCAGACCCGACAATGTTTGCATGAACACACTTTGAAGCATTACGTTATGGACCACTTTTCACACATAGTTGCTGTACCCACACAGCCGGCTGTAGCTTTTCATCTCACAGCCCGACACATACAAAAAAAAAAAAAAAAAAAGCAGAGAGAGCACAGACTTCACACCTGAGAGGCGTGATTGCAGATGCCACTGAGGTGGGTCCACCTCCCCTGCAGCGGCACTGCAGACCACGCCCTGCCACACACATCAAACACGTAAAATAAATATTTATGCACTTTTCATTCACTTAGGTTTTTTTGTTATTTTTACACAGTGTTCTGAATGATTAACAATGGTCTACAGCCAATCTTGTGTATTATTATACAAACTTTGGTTGTAAGATTCAGATAACTATTTAATAAAAGCTAAATATTTTATATGAGAGTAAGAAAGAAAAGTATATCTTTGTCTCATACTCTCATCAGACAATACATGAACCTCTCAATAAACAAAATATATGCTCGGCTTAAATGACAAACCGCTATTTTACACAGTGGAACACTTATTTTTAAACAAAACCAATGCAGTTCGCCACTGACAGTGCTTACCTTTGCACATCACAGTAAACACTGAACCAAGATGGCGCCCACGCGAACGAGAAATCTGAACTACGGTGTCCTGCAGAGGACAAATGGTCAAAATTGCTAAAATATACAACATATATGCAGCTCAACAGCGACACCTTGTGACTTATTCCAGTCACTACCTTAAATATACATAACGTCTTACCTGACATTCAGTTCACCGGACACTCATACCGAATCACCAGCCCATATAAATGAAAAATAAGTCCAGCAGCCCACCAAGAGTCATCACGAAAGACTAGGGGTGACACGAGAGCGTGAGCGGGCCTGGGTGTCAGCCAACCCGACCTGGGTGTCAGCCAACCCGACCTGGGTGTCAGCCAAGCCGCCCTAGCCAGCTAGCCGGCTAGCTGCCATGCGGCGCTAGCAGTAACATTGTATTGTATTGTATTGTATCTTTATTTGTTTCAGACATATAAAACAAAAAACAATATATACACACTACATATATTTTCATTTACAGATACGAATATATATGTAGATATACACACACACACACACGTATGTGTTCAGATAAACAAAAAATATATAATGAAATAAAACAAAATCGTCTGACATAATGTAACAATGTTTGGTCTGAAAAGGAGTAGGAAGAAGTATGAACATACTTATCAATTCCTACCCCTGCTCAACATCTTATTGATCCCACATAATTCACCTAATTCCCATCATCACATACTTCACACGATACACGAGGAGAACCTATATAAACTTGGCTACCGTGACTGATATAATTTGGATATAATTTGATATTTTTATACATACAATGGGTGATCATCTTTATCGGTATCATATTCTTCCAAAATCAGTTTTCGAAGTATTTTCATGAACTTACTAATTCCTGAGCATTGCTGTAGATCTATAGTAAAACTATTCCACAGTTTTACCCCATAAATAGTGACACAAAAGGTTTTAACCTTTGACCGTGCTTTAAGAATCCTTAGATTCAATTTCCCCCTCAATTCATAGTCTCCTTCTCTGTCATAGAACATCCTCTGTATATTTCCTGGTAACATATTGTATCTGGCCTTGTACATAATTTTTGCAGTTTTATATTTTATAAGATCCATAAACTTCAGTATTTTTAATTTCAAAAACATGATGTTAGTATGGTCTCTAAATCCTGCTTTATTAATCATCCTGATTGCTTTTTTTTGAATTTTACATATTGGTTGAAGTGCAGTTTTATATGTGTTTCCCCAAATTTCCACACAGTATTCCAAATATGGCAATATAAGTGAACAATAAAGTACCCGGAGTGATTTGGAAGGCAAAAAATATTTAACTTTACTTAGTACGGAGATGCTTCTTGACAGTTTGGCTTGTATATGCTTTATGTGAAGTTTCCAGCAGATTTTGTTATCTATTATCACACCCAGAAATTTTGTATCCGAAACTTGCTCTATTTCAACATTGTTTACTAATAATTTTGCTCCTGCATCTTTTTTACAATTTCCGAATAACATAAATGTAGTTTTTTCCAAATTTAATGATAGCTTATTTCTATCAAACCATGTTTTCAGTTTAATCATTTCTTGTGTGACAATTTCCAAAAGCTGCTGTAAGTTCTCTCCAGCACAAAAATATTTGTATCATCTGCAAATAGAATAAACTGTAGTATATCTGATGTTCTGCATATATCATTGATATAGAGGATAAACAGCTTTGGTCCCAATACTGACCCCTGCGGAACTCCACAAACAATGTCCATACACTCTGATTGATATTCCCCAATTTTCACAAATTGCTGCCTGTCTCTCAAATAACTCTTTACCCATTCTAACACCACTCCTCTAATGCCGTAGTACTCCAGTTTATCAACTAATATGTCATGATTAATTGTGTCAAAAGCTTTTTTTAGGTCAATGAATACACTAACTATACATTGTCTTTTATCTATATTGTTGGTGATATTTTCGATCAGTTCCATTAATGCCAATGATGTTGATCTATTTGATCTGAAACCATACTGACTATCCGTTATTATTTTGTGTTTATCTATAAATTTGTCAAGTCTATTACTAAAGACTTTTTCCAGTATTTTTGAAAATTGAGAAAGTAGAGAGACAGGCCTATAATTTGTGAATTGGTGTCTGTCACCATTTTTAAACAGTGGTGTTACTTTAGCTGTTTTCATTTGTTTTGGGAATGCACCAGTTTGTAAGGACAAATTGCAAATGTGTGTTAAGGGTTTGGAAATGCCCTCTATCACTCTCTTAACGATTTCCATATCAATGTCGTCAGAGTCTGTAGAGTTTTTTGTTTGTGATTTCCCAACAATATCAATGATTTCCATTTCTTCCACCACCGTTAAGAACATTGAATGAGGATTGCGGTCAATGAGTCTAGTTTCTTTCTCTACAGAATCTGTTATATCAGGAATTGTTTCAGCCAAGTCTGGCCCAACACTTACAAAGAATTTATTGAACTCATTTACCACATCTCTCATATTAGTAATATTTCTATCATTATTTGCGAAATACGAAGGATAGTCTGCCTGCCCCGAGCCCTTTTTGATGATGGTATTTAATGTTTTCCAGATCCCTTTAATATTATTTTTATTCATAATCAGTAATTTTTCATAGTATTCCTTTTTACATGACCATAAAATACTCGTTAATTTATTTTTATATTTCTCGTATTTATTTTCAGCTTCTGTGCTTCTGTTCATTATAAATTCTCTGTATAAGGTATTTTTCTTCTTACATGCATTTTGCAATCCTTTTGTAATCCATGGGCACTCTGCATATTTTTGTTTTTTACTATATTTCTTTACTGGGCAATGACTATTATATAACAGTTTAAATTTTCCTAAAAAAATCTCATAAGCTTTATCAATATTTTTTTCCTTATACAGCATCTCCCATTCTTGCTTGAGTAAATCACTTTTGAATGCGTTTATTGACTCTTCTGTTCTCACTCGTTTGTATTTTATTGTGTTTTGCTGTTTAACCTTCCTGTAATTGCTGTTATACACTATAAAAACAGGTAGATGATCACTGATGTCATTAATTAGGAGACCACTTATGGTTCTATTTTCTATTTCATTAGTAAATATCGTGAGAGATATGGGACTTCTTGATAAAATATGGGACTTCTTGATAAAACGAGCAGATATTTGAAGTTTACACCCCTACATTCTCGCCTGAAAATAGGGGAGGCTGTCATAAAGTTCAACATCAGTAACTTAGCGCGCACAGCTATATGGAAACTCCGTCGTGCTAGCTAGCACGCAGTACAGTTATTGTAACTGTCAGCACAACGAAAATAAACTACACCTAAACTCGGTTTATATCTGACCCAAATAGAGTGCAGTTAATAACGTCTTACCTGAAATTCAGTTCACCAGCCGCCTGCTTCTCCTGCATTGGGTTTCCCTTATCCACGATTGAGCTCCGCGTTAGCCACCACCGGTCGATCGGTGGCCGCCTCGCATGTTTCTTTCCCCGCATACGAGGGGAAGAGACATACACCGGTGGCTAACGCAGAGCTAGCTAGCCACCGGTATATGAACAACTCAGTTATTTTTTCCACATCGACCAGCATCATCGGCCCATATAAACGAAAAATAAGTCCAGCTAATACAAAGACTGTTTGCGGAGCGATCGGGGGTGAAAGGAGTTAGAGACGCCTCACTGAAAGCCAAGCCTGGGTGCTTTTGAGTGAAGCGGCGCTAGCCGGCTAGCTAGATCATTATCCGCCGTTCTTAAGCTGAGAGACGTACTTGAGCTGTGGCAGCGGGATCCCCAGACCAAGTTTAGCTGCTACGTAGGCCAAAGGATAACCAGTCGCTTTACTGGCCAGAGCAGAGCTCCGTGACAGGCGGGCATTCACCTCAATGATGTAGTACTGCAACACATTATACATAGAAGATACAATTCAATCACAGACATTACGGGAATTAGACCAGGAGCAGGAATACCAGCTCCCCATGCACACAAGACCTGTTTAAAGGCCTGTTCTGATACATAAAGCCTATTCATACAAATCTATTCCTGGTTTGTATGAAATGAACTTGGTCACATTGATACCTAAAACAATTTTCTTTTAAAACTTATTGAACTAGGATTTACATAGCAAAGACTTTTTACAACCTTGTTTTGGAGCCAAAACAGTAAATGTAAGCCGTTGACATACCTGGCTGTTACATTATCTGCAGATCCAGCCGCACACTCTGTACATCCTATAGCCATATAAACTGTATATACTTCAAGTCATGTTACCACCCATGCTTATTTCAATATACCTACACTTTCTGTACTATTCATTACAGCATGTCACTGGCTTTAAAATAAGGAAATGCAAAACAGATCCACTTTATAGGTGAACACAGTCCTATTTGTGCTTTTCATCACCCAGGTCTTCACATATATGCTTACCTGTTCAGATTCGGGGTTAAGAGCGTACAGGATGTTACACTCTCCCACGATGCCGAGATGTCTGATGACTTTAATGGCCGTGTTTCTCAGCATGTTGTACTCGCGGTCATTAAGCGTCTGACTGGGAGCCACTACAATGGATTCCCCAGTGTGGATACCCAGTGGGTCGATGTTCTCCATATTACACACCTAAACAAGAGGAAACAACAGCCACTTAAAATCTATGGAACGCCAGGACTGCCATAATGAATTAATTAAATACACCATTAAATAATTAATTAAATGTGGCAATAATTAATTAAAATTGGAATTAATTAATTAAATAAATAGTTATGATATATGTAATTAATTAATTATTGACACATTTAATTAATTATTTATGTATTTCACGTTTTAATTAATTATTGACACATTTAATTAATTATTGACACATTTAATTAATTATTTAATGATATATTTATTTATTTCATTTTGGCAGTCCTGACGCCTGGCTCTCATCATGAAATAATTTTATCTGTCAGCCTCACCCATCAAACTCAGGGGGCGGGGTTAACGCTGATCGAGTCAAAACCATTGCTTTGGCCTGGTGGCCATTGTTTCTAGCACACAACAGAAAGCTAACAGAACTGAGCTTTGAAAAACCCTGTTTGTGTGTTACCAAATACCGTTTTAATATTTTTTTAGCCGAGAATGTAGTGGTTTAATCTTCATGTTTCTGGTCGGTTTGTCAAGATACAGCCTCTTTGCAAAAGTGTTTCGATGATTTCGGAGATGTCGTCCCAGTCTCACGGCAAAGCGTGGGATAGACCCGCTCGCCTCGCAAGCAATCCCACCGACAAAGCGCAGGCCCCGGTACACAGCTGTAGTAACCCCCGCTGACTTCTTTTACTGAGGTTATATTTATCGATGTTTTATTTCCTGATGTTCTTATGTGTCCTACGTGTTTCAGTCGCCAATTCTGAATTATAACTAACATTAAAAACATGTTTAAGGAGGAGAGAGAGCAAATAAATCTGTTTAACATCTGATCTTTGGGTTTTTGTTCAGTAATCAGCGTGACCTGTGTATAAACACGTAAAAGAGATAACGTTGGTGTTTCCGTCATGTAGTAACTGCTGGCTTTAACTGTACAAAGGTTGTTCGACACTATGAAACACATACAGACTTCATGATGTTCGGCTAATATTTTTATTGTGAATATTAATCATGCTGACCTCGCTCTGTACACCACGCAGCGAGGTCAGCATATCCACGATATCCTCAGCTCCATGAGTTAACACAAAGTTTCCCAGCTGACTATCTAACTGCCAACTATTCCAGAGACGTGAAAATATACAGCATAAAGAAAAGTGTAAGAGACTCAGCAGCAGATTAGAATAACAGTTATACATTTAATAAATCACCAAATGAATCCAAGAAACGAGCAAACCTGTTCCGACAATTTGAATTTGTATTCCCTCAGCTGCAGACTCGCTGCTGTTTAAATGTTTGAAAAGGAAGATTAGATATAAACAAACGTCAAACATAGACTCAGTCTGCCTTCACATTTGATATGAGGCCAGCACGTATAGTGGCCTCAGCAGGCTATTACTGAAATACACGTGCTATATCATAAACTATGATATAAACAGGGAGGTCCTATTAACATGTTTAGTTTTAAAGGACACCTTCCTGCCTTTAGTCTCATTCATGAGCAGTATTCGTTTTCTTCTAACATCCAGAAGTCTGCACAATGTGTTTCATAGTTTGTAACAAGCCTTTGACAGGTAAACATAACATGACCGAAAAAGCAAAAAAAAAAAGAAAAAAAAAGAGAGAGAGAGAGTGTTGACATAAGAAGAGAGAGTGTTGACATAAGAAGAGAAAATGCTCTCAATTATGGAGACAGGCAAATGGTTCATTTATGTTTGATGTGTGTTTATTCCTCCCTAAATATCGTCGGTGAAGTTCGCCATGCACGTCAGATTTTCCTGCGCATTTTTATACCTCTGCCAACAGAGAGAGAAAAAAAATCACATTCTAACAGACAGCTGGTGCTTAGAATACAGTTGAATAACTATTAAAAAACAGATGATATTTAGATGATAGTTCAGTCTAACACATGTGCCAGTGAACCATTAAACGTCTGTGAAACTATGCAGTTATGAAACGTAACTTTAACCTCAGCCAAACCGATTTGCTCAGTTGTAAATAAAACAGCGAAGTAAACGTGACCCGACAGACAGAACCTGAGTGAATGAAGTCCAGCGTTTAACCACTGAGAGCTAAAACTCAGCTGAGGTTTCAAAGCTGTGTGCTGGTGATTGGACATCAGCCGCTGATAAAGCTGGCTCGCCTATAAAGTGCTCTGTAAGGAAACAAGCTCCAGCAGCTCTGCGCTCGGGGAAAACACTATATTTACTTATCTTGTGCAGAAAAATGCGCTGACATTGCGTTATATCGAGCACCGGCTGCCCAGTTAAACTGTGACTATCACCAGGTAACTAGGCGTGTTTCTTGAATTAGCAGCAGGTGTTAAACAGCTGACAGATGAGGAGGAGGATGCATGCAGGTAAACTGAGGGTCTGCTGAGCTGATCGCTGGTTTCGTGAGAAAAATGTCAGCTCGTTCTTTATGTTACAGAAGCACAGAGACACAAGACCAGGCGGAAAGAGACGATCGTTCGGTGAAAATGAGAATCTGCGAATGCAACATGTGGAACACGGAGAGTGGAATATGTAAACAAACCGGTTAACGTAACCCCCTGGGTGCACTCTGCATGCTAACTGTTAGCAGAGCTAGTGAAATCTCTGAAAACATCTGAGCACTTTTGCAAGCATGTTCTATGTTGACAACCTGACCAGACATACGGCGCGACATTCGCAGCTAAAACACTGTTAAAAGTGTAGCTGGTGACAGAAAAACGGGGTATTTTAAAACTACACCACCACCATTGCTGCCTGTGATTTGATCTGCATTCTGGGATAACTGGCTGCCCCAAGTCTACACAAGCAATCGATTTTCTAGGATCGACCTGTTTTGACTTACTTTGCACGGCAACCAATCAAATGTTAGAGAAGCTGCATGGGCAGCGTTAACCCCGCCCCTGAGTTTGATGGGTGAGGCTGACAGATAAAATTATTTCATGACGAGAGCCAGGCGTCAGGACTGCCAAAATGAAATAAATAAATATATCATTAAATAATTAATTAAATGTGTCAATAATTAATTAAATGTGTCAATAATTAATTAAAATGTGAAATACATAAATAATTAATTAAATGTGTCAATAATTAATTAATTAAATGTGTCAATAATTAATTAAAATGTGAAATACATAAATAATTAATTAAATGTGTCAATAATTAATTAATTACATGTGTCATAACTATTTATTTAATTAATTAATTCCAATTTTAATTAATTATTGACACATTTAATTAATTATTTAATGGTGTATTTAATTAATTCATTATGGCAGTCCTGGCGTTCCATATAAATCACCCTCAGTTTTTTTTTAGTGAGTATAAACCGTTTGTTCTCTGGTCTCCTTTTACTCACAGTCACACAGTTGTCATAGGCGTCCCGGACCACCTCGTACTCGATCTCCTTCCAGCCTTTCAGGGATTTATCCACCAGCACCTGAGAGGTGTGAGCGAATGCTGCCGTTACCAGAGAGGTCAGCTCCTCTCTGTTGTTGGCAAAACCGGAGCCGAGGCCTCCGAGAGCGAACGCTGAACGAACCAAGACGGGGTAGCCAAGACGCTCAGCAGCTGCCACCGCCTACAGCAGAGTTAATCAGATAAATTTAGACTTCACTGGGGCAAAAAACAATCCAGAAGCTATTAATTTATAAGCGAACACGTCTCCTCACCTGTTCCACCGACAGAGCTGCTTCACTGGGAGCTACATGCTCATTGATCTCTTCCATTTTCTCCACAAAGATTTTCCTGTCTTCGGTCATCTCAATGGAGGAAACAGGAGTTCCCAGAACCTGCACTTTATATTTCTCCAGAACGCCCAGCTTGGTCAGCTCTACACCGCAGTTCAGAGCAGTCTGACCTCCAAAAGTCAGCAGGACGCCGTCCGGGCGCTCATTTTTTATCACCTGTAACAACAAGATGTAATGACACGAAGCACTCACAACACATGAAAATGAGACAAACAGCTCTGTGGATTTCACACTGGGAATTTCATCCCGTCCAAGACATTTGGAAGTCTGCAACTGAACTAAAAGCAGCTTAAGTGATCTTTGATTTTTTACTGTAAAAGCCTTTTAGCCTCTTCGTTTCCACTCTATACTGCCATATGATGGATGCAGGTAGAAAGCTGAGCAGGGATTTTTATATCTTTGAGCCAGCACATTTTTACAGAAACGTATTATGAACACTGAAATTTAAAAATAAAAATAATAACATAAACTACATTAAATAAACCTGGGCAAAGAAGGTAAAAATCTGAGGGAATATTTGTCCTCAAACTTGTTTCTTTTCATTATCATTATTAATCCGCACTCTTATTTTTCCTCTCTTACTAATTACTGGCTGTTGTCTCTATATTGCATCTATATAAAAACCAGAGTGGAGCAACGAGCTCTCTTTAGTCCACCAGCACCACCCTTTATCTTACATGATGACTTCCATGGAGCCGCGGATTTAAGGGCTGCAACACAAAGCTCATGTTTTGCCTTTGCTTTTAAACACTTGTGCTGCATTCAAGTGTTCAACCAAACAAAGTGATGGACCACGTAAAAGTGTATCTTATCCACAGTAAAGAAATAAAAATAAAGGTTGTCCTAGAACCCACTGTCCCAATTCCTACAATACAGACACAAAAGAAGACTGAACTACCTTCAACAGTCACCAAAGCTACAAACACACCTGTACAGAACTGCTCTGTGTTCTTTGGTGGGTGTTACGGCCCTAGCAGGGCCTCCTCCTGAAGGTGCCTGTGTGGGCGTGTCACACTACCTCTTCTGCCTGAGGTGCCACCTTTCCCTTTTGTGCAGCTGACTCTCGTCAGTAATCAAGGAGATTTAACTTGTTTATTTAGTTATTTGTTATGCCCCACTGTTTGTTTGCCACTACACCTCTGTAAATAAAACCACCGGTATCTCATCCACTGCCTGCATCTTGGGTCCTTCTTCCAACTCCACGCGGCTCGCCTCGGCAGCCGTGACAATTAAAGCTTCTGCTATAATAATGCCTCATTAGAGGGCACCTTGGTTAAGCTAAATGTATAATTATAGATTTTGTTAACCGTGGGAAATGTCTTTTATCCATCTTTTAATTAGTGTGTTATTTCCTCTTGTTTCTCAGGTACGGTAACCGTGGACACAACCAACCGTGCATCCATAATGGGACAGAGCGCTGCTTCATCACCAGTCAGAATCACGGCTTCGCTGTCGACCCTGACACTTTGCCCAAAGACTGGGACGTGCTCTTCACAAATGCTAACGACCACACCAACGAGGGCATCGTACACAACACAAAGCCTCTGTTCAGGTAACAGTCTGTGAAAGATGGAGTCCAGTGGTGATTCACTCTAGAAGTGACTGGTTCTGGTGCCTTAAGTGCCTCTGTACTGGCCGGAAAAAACCCAATTAACAAACTCCCCCTCACCATGACAACAGCAGATTTCAAGCACAGTCGAAGGACGAACTGTAAGCTCCGCGGCTCTACGGTTACAGCTGGTTGTTCAGCCTAGCAGTGGCGTTAAACGATATTAACAGGGATATATTTAATGTAGGAAGGCCGTCTGTGCCGGGAAGGAGTTTCATGAGCGGGAGGCCAGCCGGAGGCAGAGGGAGACGCCGTCTGACTGTGTGATCAACAACATGGCTCTGCTTCAGCATCCCCGGCTGCTGCTCGCCTGTGTAGGGCTGCTGCTGCTGCTCACCTTTGACAGCATCGACGCTCGATCTTCGCCTATATCGGACTTGAAATCCAAAATATCCGGGGTGGAGGAGCTCTTGGAGGAATTCCGCAAACAGCTGCAGCAGGACCAGACCTACAGGACAGGTGAAGTGATGGACTCCTGCGTGGGCGACTTCAGTGCCGCGGGGGATCGCATCATCCGGGCCAAGGACTCCATCGAGCAAGGAGCCACCTTCCTGCTGGCCCCGGACAGGGTGTACACCAGGAAGGACTGTGTGCACGCCTGCTGCTCCCAGCCTCACTGCACAGTTGCGGTGCTTCACGAGGACCAAAGGCAGCCCGGGGACAGTCTCCGCTGCTACCTGTTTAACTGCACCTACAGGAGTAAGAATGTGTGCGCCTTCTCGGCTCAGAAAGGCTTCACGACATACAGCCGGACTCCCAACACAACGCAGGGACACCTCCCTGTTTCATCTAGCGACTCAGCCCGGAGGCCCGGAGAAGAAGCTCCTGATGAGGATGATGCAGACGTGGATGAGCCTCCTCGCAGTGACGCTGGACAGGATGTGGTTATCCAGCTGCCCACAGATTGGGCTGTGCTGGATGGCCGTGACAGCGTGGACGACCACGGGATCCGCCGCTATGAGTGGAGTCTGATTAAAGGAGACACAGCCATCAATATGAAGTCAACACATCCAGGTTTGCTGAAGATCAGTGGCCTCCAGGAAGGAGTCTACACGTTTCAGATGACAGTCACTGACACGGCGGGACAGAAGAGCTCCGATAACATCTCTGTCACCGTACTGGCTCCAAAACACCAAGCAGAAGTATGTACCGGTCACTGCTCAAACTACCAATTTAAGTGTGATGACGGTTGCTGTATTGACATCACCTATGCCTGCGATGGGAAGCAGCACTGTCCAGACCGCTCAGACGAAGACTTCTGCCCAAACTTCGATGGCAGCCGAAAGTCAGTGACCCACGCTGTGGACCTGCCCAGCCCTCAGCGGCCTGTCGCTCAGACAAAGAAAGCTGAAGACGACTCCATGCTCCCGACTGGAGCCAGAAAGACCATCACACCGCAAGACACAAGCAAGGCGGCTCCTTCTCAAAGTGCCAGTGAGCAGGAAGCTTCAGTCAGTCAAGACCCATGTGCTGCTGCTCCAGTTGTGGGACCCTGTAAAGGCACCTTCCCACGGTGGTACTACGACCAAAATGTGGGAGAGTGCAAACACTTCCTGTATGGAGGCTGCCAGGGAAACCACAACAACTTCCTCCAGGAGTTGGACTGTGTCAGTGAATGCATACAAAAAGTCCAGCTTTCAGACCTGCCAGTGTGGCTCCTCCAGTCACCAAGCAGACTGAGATAGCTTCCCCTAAAGCCAACCAGAGCCAAGCAGTGAGTGACGCCCCCATCTCCAAACCATTTCCACTTGGCCTAATCATCACTGCCGTGCTGCTGCTCATGATCTGTCGTCTGATCTGTGAGCCAGCATCAGCTGAGAGATATAGAGGAGAACAGGGGGACAACAGACAGCTCTCTGTAGTTGACAGACTGGTAAAAACATTGAAAACAGTTTTTAGATATTTGCTTCCTGTATTTGCAGAAGTATCTCCAACACAAACTGTAACAGCTGCATGCAGGGAACCACTCAGTCATGTTTATCCTGCAGGACAGGATCTGACAGGGAAAGAAGGAAAAATAAGGGAACCACGGACAACTTTGATAATGCTTTGATTTATCCGCAGTACATTTAGTTCAAATATTGTTTCCATCACAGAGGGATTGTGCTGGTTTCAGTGGGGAAAGTATGCAGCTCATTTAAATGTTCAAAGAGCTGTGAAAAGTTGTCCGTTCATAAAGTGTGTCAGTATTTTATAAGGATGCCATGTTTCTGTATCATCTCTCTCCTGTCAGAGCCTCTTCCAAACATCAGCCTGTTTAATGCTCTCATATCTTCAACATCTCGAGTAAATTATACTGCACAGTTTTCTCTCCAATAAAAGAATATTTACTGCATGAGTCTGTTTTCCATTTTATCTGAAACATTCAAGGAGGAGATCTTTTACTGTATTTTGGTGATATTGCCCTTAAATGTGACTAAAGCTTTCATACAGTGGTGATCACGGACATAACTCTGAGATCAGTCTGACTGAACTCTGAAAATCACTGAGTGTTATTTCACAGAACCATAATTAGATTAACTCAAACGGAAACACGCGGTGTTAAACAGTAGTATAATTATCATTAACTGTCAAAGTAAGTGCGTATTTTGCTTGTTTCCGTTTCCATCAAAAATCGAATTAATTAATAATTGTTTGATTTGTGTTGATGAAGGCCTGCCTCCTTCTCCTCACAGTCACTTTTTACGAGACCATGAGTGTGTTTCATTTTTTGTTCTGTCAGTCTTGGATGTGACTCCTGAAAAGAGATTCACCATGATTCTGGTTCTCCTTTCACAGTCAGTACTGCTGGTTTCTCTCTCAGACTGACTGAAGATGAGTGATCTGGAGTCTCCAGGATCCAGCCGTCTGTCTGTGACCGACACAAAGTAAGATACTGTCTCTAATGTACACGAAGGAAATAGAGAACATAGGTGAAATCAGTATGTAGAAACAATTACAAGTTTAAAAGGACAAGTAAGATTGAGTGGGAGAGGACTGGTTTAACAGGAAGAAGAGAAAATTCCACAGTATCCGTGCAAAAAGTTTCACTTTGAAATCTTTAAAAGAATGTGGACAAACAGGTGGACTTGGTGTCAGTGGAGTTTACTCCTGGAAGTTTGAGATTATGATGATTATTACTTCAAAAACACCTGTACAGACGTTTATCACTCATTCCATACCAGCGCAGTGCCCAGTAACACTTTGAGGTGACTGGAGCTTTATATATAAAATGAATGCAGTCCGATCAGTTTATGAGAATAGTCAAAGTGACTTTGGTAATATTAGTTGCCAATTTTTAGTTGGTATTGGTTTGTAAGATTAGTTTAAAATAAAGACTTCATTTTAACTGAATTTTGTTACGTCTCAAGAATTTGGACGTTTAGCCTTAAGGACAAACCTAAGGAGGAGGTTGGACTTTAGAGTTGAGCCCAGAGATGTACGGCTGAGTGAGGGGCTACTTTTTGTCATCAAACTAAAAAGAAATAAAATGTAGGCTTAGAAGACACGGTTGGTTGTTTGGTTCAGCATCTCTGAATATCTTCAGAGCTGTAGAGGCTTCAGAATGTAGAAGTTTGGATGGAAACTCCAAATACTTGAAGCCCACAAGATGCATCTTTAAAAAGTCAAAAAGAAGCAAAGAATTGCTGTCGCTAAAACCAAAATAACATTTATAACAACAACAAAAGTGTATGATTTGGTAATATGATTGGAATGGAACAAATGGATTCTGAAAATCAGAGATTGAGTTTCCAAGTGAATAATGCAGCTGAAAAATTTCCCTGTTATATGAAGACTTTTAACCTGTAGTTCAGTATTGATCTGCCACAGTCAGCGAACAAAACTGCCAAAAAGGAAAAAGACATTAAGATCCTCAAAAGCTTGGCATAATATAGTCATACATTTTCACCTGAATACATCTGCCCTGTGCAAATCCGTTTCGAAGGCCTTTGCAGCTAATAATGGTCAATATATTAATTTAAAGAACACAGAAAAACAGCTGGTTCTTTTTCAGGGTTTCATAGCTTTTTTGTGTAGAATGCCAAGCTTTAATATTATAGAGATTTGCAAGTATCTACAAAGCATGATATGAAGTGAAGTTCAACATCTGGGACATGTGTCCCGCTATGCATTGCAGAAAATGACTCAATCTCTTAGTACAGCAAACAAACAATGCAGGAGGGCGGGAAAATAATGGTCTCCTCTGCCGTGGCATCAGAAGTTGAGAATTGACGGGACAAAGTGTTGGGTTTCTCGTTTTGGGTTGCCGGGTCTATAGATCATAACACAGTTGAACCAAGCAAAGGAGAGGGCCCACCTGGTTTGTCTTGAGTGGCTGCTGTGAGATATGCAAGATGCTTGTGGTCAGTCAAACGATGAACAATGAGCAGGTGTTCTGCTCCCTCCCGCCAGCTAGCAGTTCCACTTCTCCCACGTCATAGTTTTGCTCAGTTCGAGAAAGACAGCAGAAGGGAAAAAGCTGCATTTTCCCTTCCTTGTTCTGGAACAAGATGAACTCCATCAACGATAAATTGTTGGGTGGTCACACACAGCTGACTGCAGCTTTCCAGTCTTACAAACAGTACATTTGTACAATGACTGAAACCAGCCCACTGGCTGTGACGTCAGTTCCTTGATCATGAATATGCAAATTGTCATGACCATTGATCAACAATCATTGATCAAAGACCATTGATCGTGGAATAATCTTCCACACTGCACCTAACGTGACAAACTGAAAGCAGTCATTGGGTGGGAAACCTTGAGGAGAACACTTTTGACCTTAGAGAAGAGCTCTGCATAGAAAAGGATCAGGTTTGAACTTAGTTTGTGCAGCTGTACCTTTAACTAAGGCAAGTTCCTGCATCAACTCGTCCTGTTGTCTTTTTGAACTGTGCTTCACTATTCACTACAGATGAATGCACTGTAAACACCTGCGTGTGAGTCACTTTGGTCACTTTGACAGTTGCACTGGTAATAATAATTTTCCCTTTGTGTCCTCAGAGAGAACAGTGATGTTGGTGTGGAGGAGGAGGAGCAGTTGTCCTGCTGTGCTTTGGGTCAAGATGTCTCAGAGGATTCAGTCGCTACCAGTTGTGGCATCTCTGTCCAAAGTAAGAGTCGGTATCCGTGTGCTGATGAACACATTTTTGAAAACTTGACTTCTTGTTTTGTAGGTGCATGAAAAAGATTTCATTCGATTTTTTATGGTATAGGTTTTTTCCTGTTTTACTTTGAATGTTGTTTCCTTTCATGTCTCACGTTAGTTTTACTTCCTGCTTTGTGATTGTCTTAATTATTTTTCACCTGGTTTGCTAAAGTTCAGCTGTCATGTTCCCCACCTGCTCACAATATCAGGCAATCCTCAATATATACTACTCAAAACAATCAGAGGAACACACTGAAAACATAATGGCTCTCGCGCGGAGAAAAACATGCTGGAGATCAATACTGATGCAAACTGGGTGATGTGTTAGAAACGAAAGGATTCAATTGTTTGTTGGAAATAAATGATCAAAATACTGGATACTGGCTGAATCCAAATACAAACAGAAAATCAGAGTAAAAAACGCTGCAGCAGGCTTTTCCATTTGGCTCTGATTTCATAGCAGCAGCTCAAAATGAAATAGTTTGTATGGCTGCGTGTGCTGCTGGGCCAAAAGTTTAGCTGGTCATTTGTAGATTTTTAGATGAAATAAAAAACAAAAAAAACACTCAACAAAAGATCATCTAAAGAAGAGCAGAGTTCATGTACACACTTTATTAAGCAGCTACTGTACAACAAGAACAGAATCATGTAAATGGCCAAACAACAGCAACAGTAATCCCAGGGTGTAGCACAGCAGGCAAAGAGACGCAGTAGCACAGAGAGAGTAAAGGATCACATGGAGAACAAATGGAGCGCGCTCACGAGCCCTCTCTTCGTACAGAGCCAGAAACGTCTGACCCACAGAGCTCACTAAGACGACAATAACTCGTTTTTCCCACACAGATTACATATAACATCACACTGAATGAAATTACATGTAGCAGATTACATGAACTATATAAGATGAGGATTCGCGTATTAAGCATATTCAGAACTATTTCCTTCCATTATTTTCTTGGGTTAACAGTTTTTGTTGCTTTTCTGCTATCGCTTAAATTTTATTCATATAGCACCAAGTCACAACAGCCACCTTAAGGCACTTTATAGTGTTAGGTAAAGCCTCAGTAATAAAGCCTCAGACAACTCCCTACGAGCAACGACTTGGAGACATTAAGAAAGAAAAACTCTCTCTTTGTACAGTCGAACACTGAGACGGAACCAGGTTCAGTGACGGGCCGCCATCCACCACGACTGGTTGGAATGAGGGGAGGAGGGCAGGATAAAACCTGCAGGCTGAGAGCAAAGTGCTCCATCTATCTGATATGATACTGTGAGGCCTCTCAGATAAGATGGGGCTGTTTTATTATGGCCCTTTTTATGTGAGAAGCATTTTGAATTCAGCTCTGGATTTAACAGGGAGCCAATGATGTGAAGCCAGTATGAGGGGGATTTTCCCTCCTCTTAAAATGTCTCATTAGGAACATTTTTAACAGTTGCTTCTTGTCTCTGCTGTGACAAAAAAGGTTCTGATTATGAATCAAAATGTTTTAAATAAGTCACACACTGGTTATAACTTAATGCCGAAAATGTCATGTTACACTATTTTCTGAAGCTTAT